GGTCCGCTCATCTGAATTGGAGGCCGGGCAAGCGAATATGGTCGTCATTATGGGCTCCCTACGCCCGGCCTAAAAAAATTCTGTGCGCAACCGCCTGGCTATTGCCAGTGAAGTGATGCGACAATTATTTGTTCACTTACTGATTTACATACACTTTACAGCTCTAAATAATTCGGCCCAAGGCCCCAACACTCAGCCGTTAACGTTACATAAAGCCAATGGTTGAAAAGTGCCAATATGAAAGCAGCTACAACCCCGCCCCAATGTTTTTTCAAGCGAGGTAGTGTTGCGGAAATGAACTCTTAACTGCAAAAGTACACTGGCACTGCAGTGGTGACAGGGGAAGCAAGAGGGTATGCAGGCGGTAATAATAGAAGTAATTTAGTCCGATACGGCTAGCAATGGATACGGTAAATAATAAAGAGCAAATAACTTTTCTTTTAATAGCGCAAACACTGAACAATGTATTGTAAGAGCATAAAATGTTGCTGGAAATGCCACTCACCTGCACGCTCATGCATGCACAGTCCTTTGTCCGACGAGCGAACAGGCTTGCAGATAGCTGAAGACGTGTTTACGATGTGTTTGTTCCACCCAGCAGCAAAATCCACAACTTCGCACTCCATAAAGATAAATATACACTAACCTTCATCACGAATAAGCAGAAACGCAAATCTGCGACACACACACACACACACACACACACACACACGATCAAAACATAGCTCACAAGCTCGCATGTCCATGTGCTCGCCGACCACAAACCATATAAATATGAGTAGTGCGAACGCGAACCTAGTTGCGCCGAAAAAAAAACGCCGAGCAGTGGCAGCACAGGCGTCAGCGCAATGCTTTCACTGAAGTGTGTTCTCCTAATACACTTATAAAAAAACTGAGGTACACTAAAACTCATATTTAAATATAAAAAATTGAGTGTAATTTTTATTTTGTGCTAGTAAACATAAACACTGAATAAAAATTACTTTGTAAATTACAACGCTTACTACACTAGCGCCACACTTGTCGTGCGGGCGCAGATGGCGCAGATTTGTCATTCTGCCCTCAAACTACACGGTGAAGCGTGCTACTAAGTGTACGGCTGATGAAAAGCGCGTCTGGGTCCGCTTTTTTTTCCTTCTGCGATATATCTGGGGGGGGGGGGGAATCGTTATGCACGTGTTTCGGTGCTTGATTGACTTAGACGCCCTTCCTTCGCGGACGAACGGCGTGTCTAGGCTTTTTTTAATCGTTGTTTTGCACGTGTTTCGGCGTTCGGTCCGCTTTGACGTGCCAACTCTCCATTCTGCTGCTGCGTGTGTTAGGTACTTGCCGTAGCTGTATTCTCAGGCCTTCTGTGTTCAACCAGCGCTGCTATCTTCTTATCTGCGGATGCTAAAATAAATCACTGTTTTCGTTTGGTGAAGTTTGACACACAGAACAAACAATAATCTGGCCCATGAACATCAATGTGGGCGGCATGCATATTTGTGTGCGGTGTCCTTCCGGGGAGTAACCGTTGCGTGACGAGAGGATTTACAGCGGTTCCTCCTTCCGTTGCTCCCTTACAAACTTAAGATGAATACAGTTGCTCCCCCATTCTCGAACAAGTCGGCCATCTTGTTCTGCTTGGTCTTTTTGGAGAGTAACAGTCGGTCTGAAGGAGTAAAAACAGTCGTTGCTCCCATTTTGGCCGTTTTTGGCTTAGAGTGTACGATGTATAATCATTTCGTAGTACAGCCGCTTTCATGTCTTCTCCAGCGTTTCTTGTGCTACTTCATTTCGCTTGTATATACGTTTTTGTTTATGCTATGTGCCGACTAGACCCAGGACGTGTTTTCCTGTTCTGGAAATGCCATAACGGAAACAGGCAGTCACCCAGTGCCGTAATGGGGAAGTTCTTGCTGACGATGGTATGAATCATTAAACCAATGGCCATTAGATTGCCTTAAATACTCTAAAGTAGGGTATTTTTCAAAATTCAGATATATTGGCCGTTTATTATTAATTTTTTTTTTGGTAAGCGGCCCTCCAGAAAGCATTTGAAACTTCTCGAACCTATCCGTTCAACATCACTTAACAGAGGAAAGCAGGATAAAGCACGCAGCCCAAGCGCTCACCTCCGAGTGCCAAAAAGCGTTTTTAGCGGAGTGTACAAATTACACAGAAACCCCAACCCTATTTCGACGCTAATTATGACTATGGTACAATTCATCTGCAATTATGTATAACAATTTACCCAGAAGCGGTGATTATTATTACATGTTTACAGGATGGACGCTGCAGACAGCTGGTTTCACAGCTGAGACTTACTTCGTGCTTGACAGTACAATCAATAGGCGTATAAAGGAAAGTGGACACAGGGTGAATACATTTGTCATTGGTTTAGTTCAAGAGGCAAGTATGCAAAAAACGCAGTTGTCTAAGTGGTTCTGATGAATTCCTGTATGCATTATACTGACATCAGACGGACTTAAAGGGAAGCGTTTCGTTTAGCTTTAGCTGTACAATTTAGGTGTCTCTATAGTAAAACGCGTTTTACAACTGTCGAAGCCTGCATGAGTTATTTGGGGTTGATGAAGATGCGACAAAAAGGAACTTCACACGTAAGAAAACGATGATGGTATTGTATTCTGTTATTTTGCTTGCATTATCATACTGTACGCCATCATGAAACTTTTCTTTTTCATTTCCGAGCAAACTGTGCTATACAAAAAAAAAACGTTAGCTGACGTACAAGGCGATTGTGTTTAAATAAGTAGAAGACAGTGTAAACTGCACTTGCACATAACGCCAACAATTACTTTTCCAATTTGTTTCTCATCAGGTATTAGGAATTTCTAGGATCTTTTATCCGTACGACTATTTCACGAAATTACATGGTTGGTAGGCTAAGAACCAGAATTACAGGATATATACACATTGACATGAAGGACGTGTACTATATTTAATTTTTTGGCTTCAGAAATATGCACTTCATCAAAAAAAAAAAGAAAATTCAACCAGGAAGCTTTTGAGACCACTTTGAGGCTTTCGCTTTGGTAGTGTAAGCAAACCTGAACCTGTAGCCTGACGTTAGTTATAGCACGAAAACAAAACGACGACACAGAGACAAGAAGGACACGAAGGACTCTGTGTCGTCGTTTTGTTCTCGCGCTATAACTATCGTGATGCCATACCAACTAGCTTAAGCTGCCACACGTTTATGAACCTGTAGCTAATAGCGAACATTGTGTCGCTGATTTAACCTCTATTCCAAAATGTTCGAGCAATATATGGGTGACTCTTCGTGGGCCAATCGCAAATCTCATAGTGATTGTTGGACCACCTCAATCAACTGCAGCTTAGAATGAAGGTCATGACGGAGTACAAAAAGTACCACCGCACCGCTTTCCCCGATGTTCTCGTGGCAGGTAAAGACAAATGCTATGTCATAACCATCTCTTAAAAGTGCATATATCGGAATGTAATTCACTTTCCTTCCTGAGCCTTCTAAGAGTCACAAATGTTTTGTTCTATTATCATTGCTAGACCATACTTTCCGTGTTTTTCAGAAACGTACAAGCAACTCAGCTGAAGTGGTCTCAATACCATGCTCTGTTGGCCAATAGCCAACAGTGCATGGTATTAGGTACATGCACGTGGACAAAACCTATGCCTTCTGCGGGAGTAACACCTTATCTGTAATTTAATAGATTAGAGCTTATGAGTGGCACTTGTTCTTTCCAGAAGTTTGTGTCGTTCATTTATATCTTCAAAAAATCTTTATTTTCACTGAAACGTCCATATCTGGCAGATAAGAACTGGGGAATTTTGTAGTAACGTCCGTCACCATAATGGCGTGCCCATGCGTGACCATGAAAACCAATTAAGAAGGCAAACGCTCCCACCAAAATGTAGAATCCCACCCTTAGCAAAGAACATATTTTTTTATTATTCCTCAAGGGTTTTCATACGATTTTCTTAGGTGTATGCTGCTAGAGGGCCAATACTTAGAGGTTGTGCAACACTGGGTAACACGCTATATATCTTCAATGCGAGAAAGAACTTAATGTAGTACTAGTAGGGGTATGCTGGGTATGCTAATTGTTTTCAAGCAGTAATTTGGACATGAAAACAGTTAAAAGTAAGTCATGGCAAATAAAGGGTAATAAACTGCAAAGTAAGGAAAATAGAAGTGATTTTTCATACAGTAAAATTAGTTCAGTATCTTATTGCTCAATCTTACGTGGCTTATGACAATTTAGTTTGCATTTGTACTTCGTCTCCTGAGTTGTATTGCTATACTTTGCATTGTAAAGCTGTTGCTAGCAATCTTTGTGTCACTCACTGAGTCCCGAAAGTAGGTATGCAGCGGGGGCTCAGTTAGCTAGTTTTGAACTGAATGTCTGCCTAAATGATTATGTCAGAGGTCATACCGTGAGATGTGACTTTGTGGTCATGCCTCTGAGTGGTGCGGCGTCTTCCTACGTGCACGTGGAACCATATTCTAGTGGAAGGCCTAAAATCATGAGTTTCTGCAGTACTGACACAACGCCTTGCTTCAGTATTTCCAACTTGTTTCGATTCTATTATTGCTGTTATTCAACAGGAGACGGTTGTTGTTGAAAACTTTTCAAGCTGTATTTCTCTGTCTTCTCTCTCGAAAAAAATATTTCAAGAGAGTTTGAAGGGGAATTAAAGCTTTATCTTCAAGACCAAAGGGAAAATATTATGAAGCACTGTATATATAAGAACTGATACAACATATATATTCATTGGCTACACTTAGTCACACTGCACAATTCAGCTAATTGGTTTATTGATCGAACTTTAAAGATTATTTTTATTATTAGGTTAATAAAATATGGGCTCAGCTTACCCCTCCTGGTTTATTGGTCGTCACTGGAATCCATGTCACCGAGGCGGTAAGCTCGCAATGCCAATGAATTTACTGTGGTGATATCTAACTAACTATTCTTGCAGGGTAAGGATGTATACACTAAACCGGAAAAAGAAAAAGACCTCACGTGCAAACATGTCCAAGAAAAATGTATCCAATTCGCACAAGTCGAAAAAATCAACGTAAAGTGCGATATTGTGGTGTGTCTCATTGGGTAAGCGCACATTGGTTACTGGTCTTATTGTTGCTGCATTCAGCACAGTTAGATACGTGTATCATCATTAGTCACCTGCTTCGAATAAATTTATAGAGCTTTTAAGGGACACTAAAAAGCGAAATGACTTTTCTCAAAGTAGTAAACTTATTTTTCGCGATACCGAAAATAGCATGCTTGTGGCGCGAAGGCGCTTAGTAAGCGATAGTGCGTGCAAAATTGAAATATGAGTGACGATGTCAACTTGACGTTACTAGGATTGACGTCACACACTTTGATGATGCGTACAATAACCGACACAGTTCGCATTTGATCGAAAAAAAGTGAAAGGGCCTTTTGAAAGGGCCGATAGACCTAACATACGAAGGTAGAGGAAATATTGTTGAGCCAATGGCAGCAAACTACAAAAAAATGCATTTTGATAGTTAGCACTAACAGACAAGAATCACGAAAAGTATAGGGGACGCTATTAGCAGCAATGATTCTTGATTTTAGCAGTGCACTGGGGGACGAAAACTGAGAAGTAAAAATGCGCAGAACACGGGTGGTCACTGCCAACTCATTTTTTAGGAAAAGAACATGCAAATTTGGTGAAGAAAAATTGAACAGAAAACTGAAAGTTTATATAATCAAAATGGGCATGTGCCACTCAGGTATTAGAATTATGAACCACTTAGCGTGAGAGAAGGTGCAGTAATACAATTCCTCCTTACCTCCGGATATGAAACGCTTCGATTATCTCTCTTGCTGTCCGTTTATTACGACGTGACAGTATTTGAGTGGGCATTGTGTGCAACCACATTGCTTACTACACTGGCGAGTGAAAACGTCTTGGTGTCCGATAGTGATTGTTCATGCTCTCTAATACCCCTGCCACACTTGGCAGCTTAAGTGCACTTTGAGCTAGTATACTTACGATCAGGAAGTGTCATTTTGGCGGTTGGCTGCTACACGAGAAAGAGAAGTGTACTTCGTAAATGAGAGCAGTGGCACTTGGCGGATTTGTAGCGCGACATGTATTTGCTATTTGTACGCCTGCGTGTATTAATCTGATTAAGTTTTCGTCGTAGAAGTAGCGCCAGTAGCACGGGTAACCACAAATAACTAGTGAACGATTTATATACAAATGTGCCGGAAGTAAACATCGCGAAGGACGCAGCTACTGCACAGCGTGTGCTGCCACACCCCCCTAGTGAACGTGGCCGCAAACTGCCGGAGGGTAAGAGTTGCGAGGTTTTTCCCTGTATTGTAACTCGTTTTATTGCAATGTGGAATCGCTTATAACAAAAACAATAGTTTAAAAATATTGTGAGCGCCACTTTAGGCAACAGCGTATTTCTGTACAGGCCAATAGTACCGAAGCTACAGACTTCATCGAGGTGAAGTGAAGTTGGGAAATACACTTGCTGGCAAGTGTACTTTGCAGCTAATGACAATAACCTTCTCGCGTGACAGCGCGCAAATGACACTTGCGGTGAGGTGTACTCGCTCAAAGTGCACTTAAGTTTTCTCGTGTGACACGGGTATGGGACGGATTTTGACGCATCTTCCACTCTGTGCAGCGTGTGTTTTCCCGCATGATCTTGAGATTTCATAGACGATGACCTTTTTGCAATCAGTATATTGAAAAGTATGTTTAATGCCGCAATCGCGGTGAACACTTCCTTATTTCGTGATTGTGTGTATTTTGTGATTGTGTATTTCGTGATTGTGTGATTTTCTGCACTTTTGCGCACGTGGATTCCGGCTTATGTGGGGAGAAAAACCCTACGTCAACGCCTTAACATTGAGCCACGTTCTCGAAACCGTGAGCCACACGATGAATGTATGAAATGACCACGAATTTCTTGGCTCTCGTATCCCGTTATTTATCGCCTCCTGCCTGTGAACAGTTTGGCTTTAAGGGTTTGCGCATTTTTAACGGGATTGTGCAGTGGTGTTTTCCGGAAAGCTTGCTAGCAGTCTTGCCACCTGTTTGCTGAAGCTAATCTGTAGTCTGTTCTGACTGCATTTCTGCAAGGCTGAGCGCACACATGACACAGGTACGCCCTCATTGGTTAAACCTCATGATGAATTGATCAGAAGTGTGCAAATCGGCATATGTGATTTAGATAATGGACATGCCTTCTTCAGCCTCTGTATCGTCTCTGTAGATTTTTTTTAGAATTCGTGTCTTTTTGCTTAAAATTAGCATATGTTCGACATACTGAAAAGGGCAATCTCACTAGTTCTAGATTAGATCATCTTCTTTGTGAAATATATATAAATATTGTGGACAGGTGGACAGGAATTGGTGCAAGGCTTGGAGGAACTGCTCAGACTTGTCTTTCGCTATGTCGATGACGACTTGGTGCTTTTTGATGTTCACAATCTATATAAACACTCCACGAATATATTGAGCGTTCCGAGAGCATGGCTGAGAAAAAGTTTCACCATTGAGTTTATGACAGAAGGGGTGCTCCGGTTTAGAGTTCTGAAGCTAGATGTTTTGACAACACATGTGTGTATTGGTGCTCTTTTCCTCCATCCCTTAAGCGCTTTCTTGATTTCACGTCAGTTCTTTCAAAAATAATCAAACAGGGCATAGCCGTGTCTTGCGCTTACTCAGCCTTGCAGAAATCTTTTAAGGACGTGCTACAGATTAGCTTAAGCGAACAGGAGGCAAAAGTCAAGCAAGCAGGCTTTTCGGAACACAGGATTGCGCTAGCCTGTGAAAGGGTGCGCAAGATTTTGAAGCCAAATAGCTCACAGGCGAGAAAAAACAAAAAAAATAGTCTACGAGAGTTAAAAAGTACACGGTCATTCCGTATTCGTGGCGAGATCGGGCTATAGGTGGCGGCACCATCCTCGCGAAGTGACGATAGGTGGTTGGCGGTGCGTATATATTAATACGCGCAGCGGTGCTTCATTGCATGCGGTCTGAGCCAATCGTCGGCGGATAAGATGGATTGACTACATTTTACTGTTAATATCTACGCTATTCTTTACTTATTCGGTTCACGACGCCTATGCAACTTTAACATTCCCTGCGAGTAAGGCGCATTCTGCCTCTCATAGGAATGCTCGCCATGGGTGACCCCTTCATGGTTTAGCGCTAAATAATGCATTTTCTGTGCTGTTTGTACATGGTTAGGTTGTGTTCCGCCTGCTACGCACTGCTGTAGCATGACTGAACTACCTATTTACATCTTTGTCTTTCGGACACCGTGAAAATTGGGAAAGATCGGAGAAAGCCCGCACCTCATACGCATACGATTGTTTTTCTCGTTCTATTCACCGTGAAATGTGAGACACTCAATAAGTCTAGTCAGGAAACCTTAGTGACTGACGGCGCGTTGGGCAACAATGCGTTTGCCACGTGTACAAATATGTTCTTGCACCAGTATAAGTATAAAATTCTTTTAGAAGGGTCCAACAGAAAGCTTTCATTGATAGATTACGTAAATGACAGTGCTACAACGATCACTGACAGTGATCACTTGGCAGTGACAACGGAACTGTGAACGTCGTAATAAGCAATCTGCTTTCTGTACAGGCTGACGCACGTTTTTCACCGGTGATACCCAACCCTGGAAGGAAAAGTACCGTGGTCCCTGGCTGCATAGTTACGCTGCTGCGTGCTTCATTTGTGCGCCTGCGTGCTGCCGTGTCCTGCGCGGTGCAGCTTCGTCCACGTCATCAAATTCACCCTACAAGAAGAGCGCTCAGGTCGCCGGCTGCATCACTTGGCAGTGACAACGGAACTGTGAACGTCGTAATAAGCAATCTGCTTTCTGTACAGGCTGACGCACGTTTTTCACCGGTGATACCCAACCCTGGAAGGAAAAGTACCGTGGTCCCTGGCTGCATAGTTACGCTGCTGCGTGCTTCATTTGTGCGCCTGCGTGCTGCCGTGTCCTGCGCGGTGCAGCTTCGTCCACGTCATCAAATTCACCCTACAAGAAGAGCGCTCAGGTCGCCGGCTGCATCACTTGGCAGTGACAACGGAACTGTGAACGTCGTAATAAGCAATCTGCTTTCTGTACAGGTCAGTGACCAAGTATACTGAGCTGCTTATAGCTTTTTTGTGTGTTCCGTCGTCACTGCCAAATTGTTTTGAATTATCTGTGGTGCTTTCTTGCTTCTTTCGTAAATCATTAAGATTTGTTATGGCTAAATTGAAGGAGGAAATGAAGACTGAATGTTTGAAGTTAAAGGAGGAGGTGCAGCAGGAACTTAAGATGTTCCGTGACTCTGTGGTAAGGGATTTCAGGAATGAAATTCGAGACATGAAAACAGAACAAAGGAACATGACTAAAAGCATTGACTACGCTCACGACAGTATTGAGGAGTTGAAGAAAAAATTAGAAGAAGCTGTCGCTGAAAGTGCTCGCCTTAAAAGTGATAATGCTTCTCTACGCCTAGAAAACGCGTCCTTGAAAACCTCTGTATTTGAATTGGAGCATCGATTGACCGGCTGTGAACAGTACTCTAGGAATGTCAATATAGAAATACAAGGCGTTGTGAAAAGGGAGACTGAATCGGTCAGTGACTTACTTTGTACGCTAGGCACGATTATCGGAGAGCCGCTTAGCAAGGATGACATAGAGGCGTGTCACCGTGTGCCGAGTAGAACGGAAAACAAGAGCAACATCGTTGTTCAATTTAAGTCCCGCGTCAAACGGGACAGGGTGCTAAAGAAGGCAAAAAAAAGCGCGCCTTACAAATGCTGATTTGGGCATTGGCAACTCAACTTCCTTTTCACCGCCTGTGTATGTGAATGAACATCTCTGCCCGACGTTGAAAAAACTGCTCGCGACCGCTGTAAAAAAGAAGTACGAAATGAAATGGAAATCTGTATGGTCTTACAACGGGAAGATATACGCTAAACAGACTGACGAAACACCTGCTGTACACATACCCAGCGAGCGTGATATCGACAGGATTTTTGGAGGGCAAAATAGTTCTGTGTCTGCATAATGTCAGTTGATGTGCTTGCTTGAAACTTTGAAATAGCATTT